GTAGGGGGACTGGGAGAGGGAGAAGCAGGCTTCCGTTGAGCAGGCAACCTGATGCGGGGCTTGATCCCAGGACCCTGGGATCATGACCTTGAGCCAAAGGCAGATGCTGATCTGACTGAGCCGCCCAGGGCTCTGTATTCTTAAAGAAAACGCCAGTGTCCCCTCTATAACAATGCAGCAGGCATGAACACCATCTGTGCATCAAAAAACAAACCTACAGGGGATCCCTGGGTGGCGCAGCGGTTTGGCGCCTGCCTTTGGCCCAGGGCGCGATCCTGGAGACCCGGGATCGAATCCCACGTCGGGCTCCCGGTGCATGGAGCCTGCTTATCCCTCTGCCTGTGTCTCTGCCTCTCTTTCTGTGTGTGTGTGTGTGTGTGTGTGTGTGTGTGTGTGTGTGTGTGTGACTATCATAAATTTAAAAAAAAAAAAAAAAAACAAACCTGCCTTTGGGAGTATGAGGCATCTTCCTTAGTCGATAAAAATAAGAATGATCACCACTGTGTAGCTCACACTATCTCTGTAAAGATACTAAAAACTTCATGGGGGACAAAAACCTGGCTATAAAGAGAATGTGCCAGGCCTGGGGTCGAGAGAGGATGGTTTCCCCAGCTTTGATCCGGAGATTGCTTAAAATGACAGTTGAAAGCCTTTGGAATGCAGGTGTATCAGGCCTTGCTTCTGTAACCAACAGAGAATGATCCACAACACTGGTTTATATGCTCATACCGCTATGGCTACATACGAAGGGACATCAGAAAGAAGGAGAGGACCTAACCAGTGTTCCAGGACCCCACAGGCGACTCTGTTTTATCACAAGGGAACATCCTGGGTTACACAGTTGGAAGGAAACAGAAAGCAGGAATGAACCAAACAATATAAGGCTCCCTACACCTCTAGTATCATCAACCAGTGCAAGTTTTCAGGAATTTCCCAGAAAGTAGCTGGAGCTTGGGAATTAGGGATAATCACGGGCTTTAAGAAATGGGGTAACTGCCGGGCACAGCCTCTTCCCATGCTGTGGATGGGCGCTGGTGCTCCTGGGCCATGGGATGACAGGACGGGATGACGTCTACAAAACAACCTGCTGTCATCCCCCAATCTCCCCTCCTACTTATTATTTTGTTTTACCGAGATTGAAGGACAGGATGATGAAGGTGGAGTGACGGGCAAGGACGTGATTACAGGAAAACAAAAAACAAGCCAAAGGTATCCAAAATACTCCGGAAAATATAATTTAAAAAATATAATTTTAAAAAGTATCCCCATTGTTTAGGTGTACAGTAAATGCAGTCTCGAAATTTTCTGGAAAAGGTATAATTTTAAATGTATCCGAGAGACCGGCAATTTTTATGCAGGCTACTAGTAATTCTTCTGTGAAGTACAGAATCTTTTCAGGAAATTTACTCCAAAATCACCTTCTGTAATCGCGGTACATACAAATCCCTACTGAGTCCTCTTAAACAGAAACACGGGGGTGCACCGAGCGAGGTTAACAGGATGAAGGGGCAAAGGGAACGGTGCGGAAGACCGTCATCTGCACCGAAGACTGAGCCTGTTGTTCTGAGACCCGGTAGAGCTGCGGACGGTGTCCTCTGCAGAACCTAAGTGGTTCCCTCCTCCCCACAAGACAAAAACTGCTTTTCTTTCCTATGGAGCCAACTCTCCCAGTTCTCAGCCTGTCCCTCTCCTCTCTCTCTCTGTAGGGCTTGCAGGCCTGAAGCCGCCACGCACAGCCAAAGGGGGGTAAGCTGGCCCAGGGCTGGTGTGCATCCCGGCTGGCCGAGGCCTCAGGTGTGCAAGAAATCCCTGCAGGCCCTGGGGTGGAGATAAAAAGCTAGCTAGCCCTGGCCTCCCCTTCGGGAACACACCGACCGGGCGAGGGAGCGGCCCCACCGCCCCACGAGGCTTCTCGGAGGAGGGGGAGCCAAACAGGCTGGTGGAGGGCCTACCATCAAGGGTCCCATGGGGAAGCACAGCTGTGCACACGGGGACCCAGGGCAAAGCCACACTATGTTTCTCAGGGAAGGGGAACAGAAAGAAGGCCTGGGGGGCAGGGGGGCTGAGGCCACACTGTTGAGCCCTGTAGGTCTAGCTGCCCCAACCTCACTGCTTCCTCCGTGGCCAAAGGAAGTGATCAATGGTCCCCCTTGAATACAGAGGACTTGTGATGAGGGCGAGGTACTCAGGGCAGTTAGATCACAGAGATGACCTTGAAGGTGGCTTGCTCCAGAAACCAGGTTCCCAGGACTGAGCAATTGTTTCAGGGACCTCACTGAGCCTAACTCCCGGCTTCAGTGATTTGGTTCAGCGCTCAAAGAGGTGAGCTGAGGGAGGCCTACACACGACACTTTTAGTAGCCGTTGGCCAGCCTCCACCTTAGCACTGTCAGCTTTCCATCTAGTGACACGGAGCACATGGGTCATTAAATACGGTCGACCCCAAAGATGATATGGTCTCTGTTGTGTGCAGTGCTAAGGTATTGAGCAGCCGGTCTGTGCATGTGTTTGAGGTCTCGGCAGAGCTGAGACTCTTACAAGAAGAAAAAAAAAAAAAAAAAGAAATCTTCTGAAAGACTTTTTTTAAAGAAGTATTGCGGTAGACATCCAAAAAAAAAAAAAAATCAGATCTTTTGGGGAAAGTATTTTTTGCCTCAGAGCGTTTTTATTTTTATTACCGTCATTTTTTCATGCTTAGATTTTTTTTTTAAAGGTTTTATTTTGGCCCTGCCTAGATAAAAAGGAAATGGCGCTGCAAAATTTTAGGCCTTTAGTTGTGTTTCACCAACACTGAGATAGGTATTTAGCAGTAACTTCCAGATGCTTTTGGTAGCTTTGGAGAGTCATGAAAAGTAGAAGGGAAAAAACCCACAACTACCAGAGGTCATGAAGCCATAGAGTCATCTGCTCCTGAACGGCATGGTCACCAGATGTGGGGAACTTCTTTCCAACAGTGCCCTTCAAGACCAAGCATTCTCATTGTCTGATGGAATTTAAGTCAGAGGACAGCTTTGCTCCCACATCCTTTTTGGAAAGAGCGAAACTTTTGATCCTTACCAACTGAGGGGGAAAGTAGTACAAAGCTGTACTACTTCTTCATTGGCTATAAAAACTATGACCGACCCGATCGCAACTGAAATGGACCGACCTAAGGTACCTCAGTGTCAAATGTTCCATTTATAGAATATTGATATCAATAAGGTAACTGGTTGTTCCCAAATGACTCCAGCATGATCAATAAAAAGCATACAATTCTGAAAGGCTCATTAACAGGTATAAGTGACACGTGACTGGATGGAAGTCATGGAAAATTAAATTTAGGGCTTGTGCAAAGAACCAGTATTTTCCCATGCACAAAACACCTGCTAATCTCCAAAGTACTGCAGATGGCCCTCCAAGCCCTCAAGTACCTACACCATGGATGATGGCCTTCTCCAACCCCACTGGAACTGCCTTCTTGAATTTTCAGTCTCACGTTTTCCCAAAGACCATTCCCAGGTTTTATGCCTTATGACGCTGCAGCAATGATGGATTTTTGGCCACGGTTCGTTTTATAACTTCATAATGGTGTAACTTTCCTCCATGACTCACAGCCAACACATATTTTAATATACAGATAGAAAAAATTATTTGCATACTTGTATGAAAACCAGAAGAGGGAAAGTTTATTTGAGATGCAGGATTTGGAAAGGCAAGCCTGGGCTTTTATTGGGAGTTGAAGCGTAAACATTTTTGAGTTCCCCTAAGATGTCTGGACTAACGTAACAGACTTCTTTGTTCACAGCCATGACTTCTAATCTTAGATTTGTGACACCCCCGGGTGTCTCCACATATCTCCGGAGGTCCTGTAAAATTACCTCCTCAGAATGCCAAGTAAAATAATTTAAATTCACTTAAAAAATATGCCACACATGTCTGCAGGCAAAGAAGGCTGTCCTGGAGTCACAAGAACACTTCTAAGTATTAGAAAAGCTTGATCCCTGTCGATTCCATTTTAGTCTCAACCAACTGATGAATAAAGGACATTGAGCAAGAGGAGACTGTGCGACTTCTGTGACTGGAGGAGACCGGGAAGGAGCTGGCTACTTGGGACAGTCTTTTTCTCTAGAAAACCCTTTCTGACCTCTACACTTATTTTACTGATGCCTGAATTAGCACTGCCTGGCAACCGGGATCCTAGTTCCCAGCCCTTCACCTACTTGCACTGACACTGGTGCCTTCAAGTTGGTTTCAATGATCTCTATTTGATATTAGTTTCTTTAAAACAGACATACATACAAATAAACGAGAACAGGGATGGGGGCAGCTAGGCAGGGTAAGCTTAATTTTGTCAGTTCTCCCCTCAGCTTCTTATTTAAATTGTCAGCCTGAGATTACATGGGGGTTATACATCTCTGCTCCACAACTGCCAATTCTAAAATGCCTCAGTCACGACACGATCGATAACTAAAACACAGTCGTGGGTTTGCCACTAGGACGCTGGCTTATAGCCTTTATATTTTACTACCGCTTCTGAATTTCCAATACCGTAGGTTTCCTGATGGGCTGCTGCCCCTGGTTTCAGAGCTCTCTTTACTTCGAACACCCACTTCAGCCGTCTGATAAAGTGGAATACGGATTTCTAGGACAAGAGTCACGTTCAAAAATGACATCACAGGGGGAAAAATACAAGTATACATTTTCCCATTAAACAGGCTTGCCTTGTCATAAAACTCATCTTTTTTTAATTTTTAAATTTTTTCATAGGACTGCTTAAACCTAGACCCACATTTTACATAGGCCCTAGGATTCCAGTGAGAAATTCTTTACTAAATAATTTTCATTTAACCCTCTATTCACCCTGCTAACCGCTTGCCAAGAACAAGAAAAAGATCCTTTTAAACTAGGTCTTTTGTATCATACTTCCAAAACTGTTGGAAAAAAAAAATAAGTGGGGTGGGGTGGGGTCTGAAGGATCACACATCTGCAAGTTACAAGCAAGGAGGACAAAAGAATACTCACCTTATTTGTAGCAGTAGCACTGGATCCAGGGACCACAGGCACGTTCGTCACTTGAACTGAAAGGTAATTATTGTCTATGAGGGGCCAGGCTCCTTCCACTTTGCACGTCTGAAAGTGGTCCTTGAAAGTTCTAAGGTGAGGATCTCCAAACAAGCCACAAAAAAGGTAACTGGGAGGGCTCAGATCCCCTCCCCCGTGTTCTCTGGCTCCCGCGTGGCTGTGATAGTTACAAGGGTCATGGGTCACTTCAGGGTTGGTAGAGGATGTGGGGCCATCCTTGGAACAGTTCCTCTGGCTCATGAGGTCGCTGATGCCCAGCACGGCCGAATGGTACACCAGGTTGCCGCGGCAGGCTTTCGAGGTCCGCTGGGTGCAGCCGGCGTAGGCACGCAGGGCCTTGCAGAACTCCGAGTCAAAGCCGTCGATGGCGGAGTTCAGGTGCGACGTCAGCGACACGAAGTCCGTGGTACACTTCTGGATCCGACACTGGGCCGGCTGTTGGCAGTCACCTACGGGGACAGAAGAGAAGACCCAACGTTTGGGAGCTGCCCCCCCACTCCCTGAGCTCCGTGCAGAGAGCACGTTGTCCTCTGCTGCGCGGGGCGGGCGTCTCAGGACCAGGCCATGCGGCCTAAGCCTGGCCGCGGGCCGGGACCCTAAGACAGGTCAGGAGCCGCAGGGAGGGACCCCGAGTCCAGCTCGGGGCTCTTGGGCTAGAACCACAAGGGAAGGGCTACAGGGAGCATCCTTCACCCACTTGGCTATTGTTGATAGATTTTAAGGGAGATTCCTTTGTTCCAGGGCCGAGCCAAAGGTGTGGACCCGGTTTTGATTTTGAAAAGGACCCAAGTCGTTGGCTTTGGAGAGCACCGGGTCTATGCACAAAACCACGATTAAGCTTCGCACCCCAGGTAGGAGCCCCTAAAATCGTAGCATGACTAAAACACCCTCACCCACTCCTAGTACAGCTATGGGGGGAGAATGTGAAGACAAAATCCAGGCACTAAGTTATTCTGCATTTCCTGAGGGATGTCTATTCATGACCTGTACGTATAAACGGCCAACCTCCTGGATGCTACAAAAGGGGACTGCTCTCTTAAAATAAATAACCTGACTCATCTGATCAACTGTGTGTTTACTGCTCCCTTAACATCGATCACTACGGGACCCCAGATCCTGAGTAGCTCATCAGGAAAGAGACACGGACTCAAAAAGGACACCACGCTGAAATCATGCTGTACAGACACGTGATTCCACCAACTATGTTGTATCAGAAACAGAACCAGGGAACCACAACACACAGAATTCCGAGAGTACATATACACAACTTTTTTCTTAGGTCGACTTCAGGCACACCTAATGATTTAAGCAAAGCTAAAATGAATGAAAAGACCAACTATTACTGCCCTAAAAGTCAATTTTCAAGTGATGTTTTGCCATTAGTTTCTCATATAAAAAAATTAAGGGATGCTCGAGTGGCTCAGTTGGTTGAGAGCTCAACCCTTGGTTTCAGCTCAGGTCATGATTTCATCATCATGAGATGGAGCCCCACGTTGGGCTCGGTGTTCAGTCTGCTGGTCCTCCTCCCTCTGCTCCTCCTCCCCCTGCTTCCAGCTTCATTTATCTGAGAAAGAGAAATAGAGCAAGAGAGTGCACACACTCTCAAATAAATGAACAAATAAAATCTTAAAAAAATTAAAGTCCTCTCAAAGCATAAAAAGATGCAAGAATTGCCAATACTAGGTCAATTGTGTGCACCAGTTTTATATTCTGGTTCATAAAGTGGGAACAGTAAAATTACTGAAAAGGAAAATACTTTTCTAATCATCCACTTCAAGTTTAGAAAAACGAACACGTACTTTGTGTTACTTAAACATTCTTTTTAGGTCCCTAAACTGGAGGAAATTTCAATACTTTCAAGTCTTAGGTTCCTCAGCTGAGAAATGAGGAGGTTGTTTTGTGATCTTCACCAGGCATAAAATATTTTACAATTCTTATTCTAGGTGGCGGGGGGGCGGGGGGAATCATAGTGTTATTAAATAGGTAATTATTTTAAGATGTGGACATAAAATGCAAGATACTATCAAGATTTTGGACTTCATCTGATGAAGACTTAAAACTAACCCTAGCATCATTTTAGAAAGATACTTTAATCTTTTCAGTACTAAAGTGCTTTTAAACCCGAATGGAATAGCCGGTAATCTCTGTTTCTGGCGTGAGTTCAGAAAAGACTGGGGGATGACAACTCTCTAGACACCTCCCCCAGTATTTTTAAATTTCAAAGATCAACAAGGGAAAAATGTAGTCTAGATGGTGTATTGATTTACTTTAACTCAAGTAAAAAATTAAAATATTAAAAATATTTTAATGTTTTGGGCTATAGACCTATAAGCTATCACTAAATCACAATTAAAAAAAAAAAAAAACCGAAACACCTTCATGTGTTTGGCCTATTTTACACTGGCTCATACTAGAATGGACAAAAGCAGCTCCTATATTTACAGAATTCCTCTCTCCAAAGTAGATCAAGTAATTTTCAACTGTTTTGACTAAAAAAAAAAAAAAAAAAAAAAAAAAAAAACCCCAAAAAAAACACCAAAAAAACAAAACAAAACAAAACAAAAACCCCAAACCCCTAAACCAATCAGCAGCCCAAAAGGCATTAAAGCCATTTTACAGATGGGAACATCAAGACAAAGGGATATTAAAGGCCTTGTCATGGCTGGATCATAAATACCAAGAATGAGCCCCAAGATGTAGTGCCTTTCTTCAAATCCCTGCCTTCCTTCCTCAGGTCACATCTCCTCTAAATTTCTGACTCTCATAATAGTTGATAACAAAAAAAAAAAAAGACTTCACTATCATATCAATTTTTATTTTTTTCTTTTTGAACGAGAGTCACAGCAAGCAGAAAGCAAGGTAATGAAAACTGGGCCAAGACCACTCAGAAATGAAGAGCTCCTGGACTATGAATAAATGACAGCACCAGAACTTTCCGCTAAACTTGCAATGCCTATTTGTTCTTTTTATGGTCTATAAAATCTATTCGAGCATACATTTACTTGTAATTATTTTAAATAGTCATAAAATATCCAAAGTAAGGAGAGCATAGATGCAGATGCAACTGTTGAGAAGAGAAGCAGAATGCAGATCCCCACCTCCCTTCTCCTGCCTTCCTACCCTTTTTCCTAGCAGGCAGGTGCCCATTCTTTTGAGAAATGTCACAGCAAACTGAACTCCTTGGGTTCTTTTGTTTGGGATGAGGTTTCAAACCGAGATGTTGGGAAGGAGGAGAGCTAAGCAGAGAGAGCATCTGGGTCAGCAGTTTCGGCCCTCATCACAGGCTCCTTCCTATATAATGACTAATTTGCGCCATATACCCAGAAATATCCAGGCTTCATGAATTCATAATGACAGCGCACACTTTGCCTGTTAACAGGCGGTAAAGTAAGCTTCCTGTCAAAATGCCAAGACAGTGCAGAGCAGAAACAATCTCAAGGATGTAGCCAACAAAGCCATGAAGAGTATGAGCAAGCAAGCAACTCCCATACTGGGATCTCCATTCAGGAATTATGGAAGTCTGCTTAAAAGGAGTGAAAAAGTATGAAAGGACTTTTTTCATTTCCCAGGGCAGGAAACAGAATCTGCTGTTACAGATGTCTCCATTTTTCAAGTCAGGTGACCTCCGACTGGTGTGATAGTGTTTTCATTCCAGTTACTGAAAGTGCTAAAGGATTTGTGGGTCTACCGCTTTCGTTAATGATTCAAAGACCTCACCATTCAAGACCACATTTCCTTGATGCCAGGACTGCACGTGTGAATTTGCAGCACAATCGCCAGTTTATAATAAAAGAAATAAGATATGCTGAAGCTGAATTAAGTGCAATGAAGGGCCATATGGGATGCTGAGGCAAATTATATGGATCCGGGCCTAAAACATATGGTAGCCCACCTGCAAAGAGCACTCTGCTAGGCTCTCTTCTCTGAGAAACAATCCATGCGTTTCTTTCAATGGCTACACTCTAAAGAAATCTTTCAAAAGGAGCCCTTCCTTTTTTTTTTTTCCTGTAACCAAATTAATCACTCCAACAGGTCGTCCACAGATACCACTCACCACGGAAACTCTTAAGTAGAACCCGATGGTGACTTCAGTGTGGACACATGATGACACTGAGAGGAGTTTCACGCAAGTTCTTGAAATAAGGCACCTTACTCTTGCAAAACATTAAAACACCTTCTGAAATTTTTCATTACTGGCCAGAAAAGAAACCTTCAAGGACCACATTCCAATCTTGCCTTAGAACCCTCTGGCAACGAAGGGAAGCAATCTCCAAGCAGCCGTGAGGGACACACAGTCCTACCTCTAGCGCTCAATTCATTTCAAGAGGCGTACACCTTGACATTAGGTACACATATTCTTCACCCAAAACACTCCTGAACGTATCTTTTGACACGTCATTAAAAATTTCCATGTGACCACAAGCAGGTTGACATTACTTTCTCAGGCTCTAAAGCCACTCATTTAAAGCCCTAATCACTGTAAAACTTACTATTACACCCTATGTTTCCCCAAGTGGGTGTTAAAAATGCAGCTGTTCCATCACAATGCAGAGTTAGGAAAAGTAAAATTAAGTTTCCTCAAATGCCACATCCCCCCCCCCCATTACTTAAGAGACCTCCCAGGTCTCCAGCAAGGATGGCAGGACTTAATTAATAAATAGGACTCCACACAGGACTCTCCAGATCAGCGCTGAGAACTGATCAGTGTTCAGGACTTTCCAGATCTATGCTGAGAACCCATGAGTGTTCAGGACTCTCCAGATCAGAGCTGAGACTGCGGTCATAAACTGCAGGACACACAACACACACACACACAGAGGTCTCCAAGGAAAACTTACCTGATGCTCTAGTTCTCAAACTAAAAGAGAACTCATCTTTCAACTTGGCATTAAGGAAATCCTTTAGACAGTCTCCTAGACCTGGTACTTGTTTAGAAGGAGCGTCCCAGACATCTCCCCCCACCCCCTCTGAGCTGACCTACAGCTGACAAGTGACTGCAGAGCTATGCAACTTATTTCACAAAGAAAATAAGTATCACCTGCTGGAAGGCTCCTCTGCAGGCCTAGTGCCCTAAGCACAGAGGACTCCCTCCGGCTTCCCCGCGGGGCCCCCGCCCTGCGCCGACCTCCACCCGGCGACCCCTCCCTCCAGGGAGCCTCAAACGCGCGCGGCTCGGCCCCAGGGCACCAGTTTCTCCAGGGGCTGCGAGCAGCTCTTGCAGGGAGGGGAAGAGAGCTGCATTTGCGGGTGTCTTAAGTTACCCCGAGAGCAAGCCCCAGGTTTTCAAATCCCGGTGAAAATCTGCACTTCTGGTGCGCTCTCCTCGCCCTGGCTGCAGCCCCCCCCGCCCCGCCCCCGCCCTCCCAACGCCGGGGGAGCAGCACAAAGCCCGCGGTCTCCCCTCCAAGGGGGCGGCGGCCGCGGAAACCTGCTCCGCGGGGATCCCCAGGCGGCCGGAGCGCAGGTCCCGGGGGCCCCGCCGTCCCCGCCCGCCCCGTCGCTGATAAGAGGCTGCGGGGAAGGGGAGTGATCAACGGTCCCCGCCGAGGGAAGGCGGGGAGCGGGAGGGAGGGGGCGGGCGCGCGGGGGAGGGGCGGCCTGTCCCCAGCGCCCGGGTGCGCCCCAGGGCGGGCGGCTCCGAGCCCCGCGCAGCTGCAGGTCGGGAGCCCGCGAGCCCCCCGCCCGCCGCCGCGCCCCCGCCCCCGCGCCGCCCAGCGGGGCCTGCGGCCCGGGAGCGTCTGCGGACAAAGCCGGGGCCCCGGGCGGGCTCCCCCCGCGCGCGCCGCGTACCTGCGTGGAGCAGTCCGAGGCCGAGCAGGAGCAGCAGCGGCAGCAGCACCGGGGGCGGCGGGCGGGGCGGCGGGCAGGGCTGCGGGCGGCGGCGCTGCTCAGCCCCGGCGGCGGCGGCGGGGGCGGCGGCGGCGGCGGCGGCGCAGGAAGGAGCTGCTCTGCAGCCCATGCCCGTCCATGCAGGTCTCGTGGGCTCCGGCGAGGGCGGCGGCGCGGGCGCCGTGGCGGGGTCGCGGCCGTGGCTGCGGCATGGGCCGGGGGACGCGCCTCGCTTCCTCTTCTTCCTCCTTCAGGCCCGCGTCGGGTTCGGGCCGCCGCCACCGCCGCAGCGGGAAGCGCGCCGCGGGCGGAGCGAGGCGGAGGCGGAGGCGGCGGCGGCGGCGGCGGGGCGCAGCGGCATCGCGGCGGGCGGGGCAGAGAGGGCGGGAGAGAAGACACAAAGACCGTGAGCTGCGCGCCGAGCCCGGCCCCGAAAGCGCGGGCGCCCCGGTCCCGGCCAGCGTGGGCTCGGCGGGCGTGGACCGACTGGCGGCGCGCCCAGCCCCAGCGAGCAGCCGCGGGCGGCCCCGAGGTCTGCGTGCGGCCGCCCCGCGGTCAATCAATCTCGGCCCCGCACTGCCGCCCCGCCCACCCCGACGCGCGCCAATCCGCGCCGGCCCCGCCCCCGGGCAAGCCCCGCCCCCCGCCCCATTGGCTGCGAGCGCGGGGCCGCGAGGGCCCGGCCCGCCCCTCGCAGGGCCCGGAGCGCCCGCCCCCCGCACCTCCTCCCGCCCTCCGCTTGCTCATTGTACTGCGAGTTCCGCGTCCGCGGGCGGAGTGCGGTCCGCGGCGCCCGGGCCCGGCCTCCGCCTCCTCCCCGCCGCGAGCTCCCGGTTCCCCGTGCGCTGCAGAAACCGGCGACGGCCACTCTGCCTCGGCGTCACGAGGGAACCGGTCTTGGACCTCTCTTTCAATTAATGTGATTGGGTTCCACCGCCCCCTAAGGTGTGTGGGTGCCTTAGGTTCCCCCCGCCCCAGCTCCGGCTCCGGCTCCGGCTCCGGCTCCGAGCGGCAGGTCCCTCCGCAGCCAATCCCATCTGCGGAACCGCGTCCCGAGCCTTCCCCGGACGCTCGGTAGGGCTGGCACCCCGCCGCGCTGGAGACCCCAACGTGACCCGCGGTCCCGAGCAGGCCGGAGGGGCCGGGAAGCCCCCCCGCCCCCCCCCCGCCCCGCGCCCAGCTCCCGGCGGAATTCGCTGGCAGCTGTGCGAGGCCCCGGCGTTATTGTTCCTCTGACATTTCCCTTCCTGAAAGCGGCGGGGAGGAGTCTGAGAGGGGGCGAACTTCAACGTGTTCGGTTACAGTGTAATTAGATTAATGAGGATGGTGAGTTTTTAATGCAGTGTGGAGTAATCAGGCCATCACTTCTGGTTGCTCGGTGGCTTTCCCACAAATCTTCCGAGTTCTCTTAGCAGGTCACTTTCTACTTTTGCCCCTTGGTCGGATCCAGAACTAAGGGGGGGGGGGAGCCCAACTGTGTGCCAGCAAGGAGGCTGCCGAGTGCAGTCACAGGAAGGCCCGTTGCGAGGTCGATGATAGGTTCCAATTTGTTATCAGTAGGTGTGAAGTGGTATCTAATCTCAGGAATGGCTTCAGAGGCCCGAGAGCGGCTTCGCCTGCCCTGGCCATTCCTCCAAGGGGCTCAGGGCTGCCTTTTTTAGTTCACTTACAGCCAAACTGCAGCTCGCAACTGCACCCCTTCACTGCTCATAATCCCTGCTTTGTAATTTCGTATCAGCCACGGACACATTGATAGTCCACATGTTACAATGTGCTAATCAATGGACGAGGATAATTGAGGGCAAACCTTCCATCACTCGGCCTCACTCATTAGACACATTATGAACTGTGCAAACCACTAGGTCCCTAATGAAGGATGCCTATCTTTTACTGTAACCTTTCTTTACTTACCTATTACATACTATGATGACTCAAGTGGTAAAAACACCTTTCACTGCCCAAGATATAATCCAGGCCCTGGGTATATCCATAAATATGCTTAATAATAGCTTCAGAGTTGCCTGGAGAAATGACTTTTTGCCGGCCGAGTTATCTGATACGACTTTTAGGTAGTACTGGGGAGTGAATAGCACGGCACCCAACATTGACTCTCTTGCAACGACTACATGAATCGATGAACTAAAGTCAGTGAAATCCTGGTAGACATCTTTTCAAAAATCACCAAATCTAAACCGTTCTTCCGGCTCTTTTTCTAACAAAGAGTAAGGTGTTTCCTTTTCCCTAACCCTAGATTTAATTCGACACCTATAAAAGAAGCATGCCACCACGACCATACTTCAAAACACATCACCGAAAGTTAAGGATCAAATTCACTTTAGTTGGGCTCTTTTCGCTGTCATTACTTTCCATCATTTCTCCCCCTGCCACTACTTCTCCCCCACCTGGTATCCTGTTCCTTAAAATACACGGTGCTCTAAATTATCTTATCAATAGAGGGCGTCCTCGAGTCACTGCAAATTCTGGTATCGACAGGGTACTATTCTTTAGAGGGAAAACTTCATTTTTTTTTTCCCCGAAGGTGCTTTATTGCTCATCTGTTGTAAAATTTGACAAGCTCAAGATTTATAAGCCTAACAATTCATTTTTTATTACCACATAAGCGTTCGGCCGGCTAGAGTAAAAATGTTAATTTTCACAATTAAACCGCAAGGTGGTTCCTGTTTTCAAGACTTTAGGTCACTCGACACACTCACAGGGTAAATTCGGACTGTGAGCAAGATCCTGAATCGGCCTGGAGAGCAAGAGCGTCGCGAATGGTCGCTCATAGCGCATCCACTCCCCCCCCACCCCCCAGCTCGAATGCTGCAAGTGTCCTAGGAGGATTTTAAGATTCTATAACGAAAAATCTGGGGATTCCCCTCCCCACCCCAATAAAATCAATGACTTATAAAAGTTTTACGTTTTAATCTGGAAAAAAAATCGTGAAGTGACAGCTTGCCCAACTCACAAGATCACCCTATTTCCTGCCACTTGTACTCTTCCTCCCTTCATCTTTGTTTTCAGGGAGAAAAGGTGAGGCCAGAGCATCACAATTAGGGGACACACGGCAGAGCATCCCATGGTCTGAACGTGCGAATGAAGAGAATTAAAACCCACGCCCGCAACATGAAAGAAGACTTAGAGGTTTCTTTAGCTGACCCTATACGCGCCTGTTAACAACATCTCCCCTTTCCAGGGATCTAACGCGACGGTCCCCCTAGATCGCCTTAGGGCAGGAGAGCGAGGACTCAGACCGCGGCTGCGGTGTGTCAGCCCCCTCTCGGGGCGCCCTCGCTGTCCCCCGGCCCAGGGTGCACGCAAAGCGGGGGCTGAAGCCGCCCGGAGTCCCACAGCCCCGCAGCGAGCAGCTAGCGGATCGTACTTACATCATGCTTAACCCTTCCGCTCCTGGAGGGGGCTGGGCGGGATCAGGGGGCCCCCGAACTCTGGAGCACGCAGGACCTGGGTGCGAGAGAAGACCCCAGAGCCCGCAGTGAGCGCGGCGCCCCGGGCGGGAGAGGGCGCGGGGCGGGAGCGGGGCTCATCCCCCGAGCACACCCGGCTGCGCCCCCCGATCCCCGCGGGCGCCGCAGCGGATCGCACCGCTCAGAGCGGCAGGTGCAAAAAGCATTTGGGAGCCGCTTGCCAGCGCGCGGAGGTAATGCGCTTCCTGTCCATTTATCTCAGGAAACCAGCGCAGCCTTCTCTTCCAAACAAAATTAACCTCTCATTAGCCAGCCACTCACTCCCGAGAAGGCCTTAAAAGCTTTACCAGCTCGCTAATGTATTTAGGCTTTTCTTCCAGGCAAACGCAGCCGCGGTGGTGACTGTCATCAGCCCTGCGGGGGGGGGGGGAGGGGTGTGGGGTCCTCCGGACTCCCCGGGAGCCAACCGCTTAGGGCCCCCCTCCACCCCCCGGCCTCAAGTCAGGGAAACTCCGGCCCATCTGGATCCCACTTTGGGGCGCTCTGCAGACCGGTCACGCCTGCACGGCAGAAGGAGCCCTGCAAGTTCCCACTAGTTTCAAGAGCGCCCCTCGGCTCCAGTCCTCAGCTCTCCCATCCTCAAGCAACGGGGCAGGGTCCCCGGGGGTGCGCGGGCGCTGCCTGCCGTCCCCCGCCCCAGCCGGGCCCGCGGCGCTCGGGGAGGGGCCGGCGGCGGAGGGCGGGCTGCGGTCCAGCCCCTTCCAGGAGCCGACGGCCAACGTGGTGCCAGGTCTGCAAGGGGCGGCAAAGGGGAGGCCCCCGCGAGCGCGGGGGAGCTGCTCACCCCGGGCCCCGCCGCCCCGAGGCCGGCGGATGGATGCCACACAGGTGGACCGCGACCTGCGCAAACCCCGCCCGCCCGCCGCCCGCCCCCCACGTCCCCGGCCCACCGCAAACTCCGACAAAATAAACAGCTCACCACAGGCATTCCCTTGTCTGCAGCGCGACGCTTGCCAGCTGGGAAAATAAGCCGCAAGCCCCGCGGCGGGGGCCCGGGGAGGGCAGCGCGGCGGCCGCGCGTCTCCCCGCGGCGGGGGCCCGGCCCCCGGGCCGCCCCACGCCCCGCCCCGCGCCCGCCGAGCGCGCCCCCGCCGCCCGGTCCCTCCCGCTCTCCCCGCCCGGGGCCTCGGAGCCCCGACGCCGCCCCCTGTCGGCGCCCCCCGGATCGCGCTCGGTTCCGGGGTTCTCCCCACCTCGTCACCCCGCGTCCCGCACAAAGAGCCCTGCACGCGGCCAGCGCCACCCCGCCCTGTGCGCTCCCGCCGCAGCCGCCGTGTCCCGGCCCCCCCGGGGGTGGGGGTGGGGGCTCCCCGCGCCCCGCGCCCCGCGCCTCGGCACCTGCACAGAGGCGGCCCACCCGCCCCCGCGCCTTTGCACGCCTATCGCCCGCTGTGCACCAGCGGCCACGAAGGGCGCCCACTCCCCCCCGTAAGTGACCTCTGGGGGTCTCCCCGGTGTGCATCAACCGGGGGGTGTTCGCGGCGGGCACCGGCTCTGCACTGTCGCTGAAATAGGGAATCCCGGGGTCCTCCCTGTCCGCCTCGGGGGCCAGCGTGGAGGCTGACGGCCGACCCAAGCCCAGCGTAACGATTTGCAAATTGCGGGGGGTGGGGGGGGGGTGCGGTGGGGATTGAAAGAGACATCTAAGACCCGGGTGAAAGAGACATCTAAGACGTGTGTCACGAGGAGCAAGCCCGCGACATGCTGGAGGAACGACAGTCACTTGAATCGGAGTAGAAGGTGTGGCGAGCAAGAGGGGAGCAGTTAGCTTTCTCCCCTATAGGCTCAGCTTCCAGAGTTGGACGTGAGCATCACAGGTATTCAGCGGGAGCTCCCGGTGTGTGTGTGTGTGTGTGTGTGTGTGTGTGTGTGTGTGTGTGTGTGTGTGTATGTCCAGGGAAAGGTTCAGGCATCTTGACTTAGGTATTACACTTTTTTTTTTTTTTTTTTGGCTCCTTGGAAGCATCTTTGACCCTCTCCATCTCTTTTCTTCTCTTCGGTCCCCACTCCTCCTTGTAATTTCCCGATCTAACGCTAGAGGCAGCATAGGGCAGCGTAAAGAGGACCGAGTGCCAATCCGGGGTGGGAAGGGGCTTGTCCTGACTTTCTGAGCAGGACTCTGGGGCAACCGATTTAATGTTTTTGAACTTAGGGGTCACTACCAAGAAAGAGTGTGCTAAGGGCAGTGGTCTGGTTCCTTCTGGCTCTGAAATTAGGTGACAAGGGACGCCTCCTCTAACCCTCTATAGATTCCCTGTTAAAGTGTTTTCTCACCTTGCTTTGTCCTCTCCAAGTGCCAAATTGGAAAAAAAAAAAAATATTGGGGATGTTTTAAGGGAAATCTAAAATACATTGAAAAATCCTTATCTTCGTACTTAGAATAAAAAAAAAAAAACAAAAACAAAAAAACGCAAAACCAAAACTCAAACCAAAACCAAAGCCCCTTAGCTCCTGGTCCACAGAAACAAGGAATTTTTTTTTTTTTTGAAACAAGGAATTTTAATGCCCCCACTTGCTTTGCCTTTGAAAAGCCACACCAGCAATCAGAAGAGCAGAACTTTGATTTAGAACCTAAAGGCCAGTCTTATGTTTTTTTTTTTTGTTTTTGTTTTTTTTTGTTTTTTGTTTTTTCCTTCTACCAACACAAAGACAAGCTGACTCGAAAAGTAGTGGTGAACAAGAGTTCAAAGCAAGCCGAGTGATCCATTTCCTAAAGCAGACCCAGTCCTCTAGCACTTCTCTGCTAAACTGGCCCTGGACATCACAGTAAGAGTCACAATTCCCTTCTTCCACCCCTTCCCATAAATATTAGGCAGTGGAACCTGGATGCTAACTTATCAATCAATCAACGTGTAAATGCATTCATTAAATCAATATAGTTACCTTTTCCTCAGCCTCATGATACTTTCCAGGATTTTTGATTCCCTATCCAGTTTGGAACCTGTAGACTTAGCTCTTCCTCTGGGGCAACCCAGGCTGTGTGTTTTCTTGGGATCTTTTCTGAAACCAAGACAAAAAGGGTGAAATTTCACAATGAAGTCTTAATCCTTAAGCAACAAATCTCTTGCTTCTTCAATGTCACCAAGAATTTCAGAATTGCTTAGCTTTCATAGCAATGCACACTTTAAAAAATTATCCATTAAAGGGAACTCTTAAGCATACTTTCATTAAGGGAAAAAGGTTTTTTTAGACAGTAGCGGTGGAAAGATACTGTGAGCTTATCTAATTTGGTTGCTTTCATTTGTATTAGTAACCCACCTTCCCTCTCCCTGCCCACAGTCCCATTCATACATGCTAAAAACTGTTCTAATTGGAACGTGGATGTTCCATTAGTGAAAGGACGTAGCTAATTTTTTCTTCCAAAATTCTTCATCTTGCTCAATGCTCCACTACTTTTTTCACTTATCTCTCTTTAATCTTTCTTTTTTTCTCATACCAACCAATATAAACCAAAGATGGCAATGGAAAAGGGACAAGAAATCACTTTTCAGTAAAATCAATTTAGTTTTTGTCTGTTGACTGTTAAGAGTCTTCTGATGATGCAACGTGTATTTGTACCATCTTCTGAATTTCCACTTAAATGCGATAGAATTTCAGTTTTCAAAATATTCAGCTAATGTATACATCCAACTCTCCAGTTGTTAAGGTCATACATACATAGTTTGCTTACTTTTGATGTTTCTAAATTTTTCCTTTTGCAATTTGGGGGGAGTCATCTCAATTATCAAGTAAGATACGAATCTGTTTTCTAGTATTTCTTATTTTGGTTTTCTTGTATATTTTGCTGAAATTCTTCTCTAGTTTCAGATTGATTCAGAATTTGACAATTCCTTTATGTACTTGTAATGTTTGAGATTCAAAATTACTGCGAATAAATTACACTATTTTATTTATTTATTATTTATTTTTTTAAAGATTTTATTTTTTTATTCATGAGAGACAGAGAGAGAGACAGAGACACAGACAGAGGGAGAAGCAGGCTCCCCATAGGAAGCCCGATGCAAGACTGGATCCAGGGACTCCGGGGTCAGGCCCTGAGCGGAAGGCAGCCGCTCAACTGCTGAGCCACCCAGGTGTCCCTAATATACTATTTTAAATATTAATAGTACTTAGAGTAAGCTTGGGAAGAAATAGAGTATTTATTTATAAAAGAATGCTAGGAGAAATGCTACTTTCTACAAGGGATTAATAAAAATAGCTTATTTAGGTAAATGCTATTGAAGTTCATCAAGACCTCTTTTATTTTAGAGGGTCATTGTTTAAATTGAGTAACATCATAAAGGATCCAAGACCTACTTCTACTTTTAAAAGGATGAAAATTTGCTGTACTTTTCCCCTCTATACAAAAATGTAAGGTTGCTGTCTTGAACTATCAGTTCATATGATGGTTAAGGTAAAGAATTCTGGTAAATTGCAAATTTAAAAATTGCAATCTCTGGACACATAGCTATTGAACAAAGAAAATAAATAAACAAGAGAATATCAAAATGTGAAAACTATTTCATTCTGTCAGCGATGTAAGCCTAGTTTGCTAGAGAAATCCTGCAGTACTAAAGTATTCCTACATATGTACACAATAAAATAGGTAAATGAATGCATATTAAAATAATAAAGTCAATATTCAAGGCAAAATACAATAAAAAATGGACCATAATCTCCTTGAAGTGTCAGGATAAAAGCCATATTTTTTTGTCTGCTTGCTATTAGAAAATCTTTCATCGTGAACCTTTTGGCCACTCAGTGTAAAATAGTAGAACATGAAACTGCAGGGATTGGCCTTTTCCCTATTGTATTTGTTGATTATTTCAGTTGTAGTCATTATACACACACACAGTATCTTCTCTACGTCTCGTAATATAAGTTTTAAGAGGCAAAGTATATATCCACTCTTTTACATTACATTTGCTCTATAAAAACAAACTTCCAGAAGTTGGAAAATTATCTTTTTAGAGAGGTAAATAACTGCAAAGTTATTCTTCTATGAACCAGTTTAGACCTAACATGGTAATTTATAGTTTCTTTTAGAGGCAAAATCTCTATCCAGATGCTCACTTGTATACATAGTGACAAAAACATTATGAAAACATTACAGAGTGGAATACGCTACTATCCTTGAAATTCCATGAAATTTAAGATTTATAGGAAATTGGATACCATCTATCCTGATAGTTAATACTACCAATTAAGAATTTTAATTGCTGTGTTCTAATATAGTAGATGATTATGTTTATGCTTCACCAATATTAGGGAAGGTTCCAAAAATATACATTTTAATTCAATTTAATAAATTGGAACAATAAGGAGACCAAAGGAATCTGTTCAAATAATCACAAGTACAAAAATAATAAGTCTTCCCCTCCTTCTGTTCTCATATTTCATCATTCCATCATTTCAAATTGTCCAAGCCACATAAAGAGGCTTGGGTAGTGTTTGTGCCAGAAGCAAGGCTAGACTCAAGCCCGAGAATGAACCCAGGGATGAAAACTGCATCTTTGTCAGAAGCTTGAATGAAATGAATCTGACTGAATTCAGGAGTGGGATTCGTTTCAGAAGAAGAGGCTAGTTTGGGAGTAGGAAAGGATCCTCAGAGGTCAGGCTCTTGCTGTTGAGTAGTAGTTAATGACTCTTCAGCTGTCCCAGTTGGGACTGTCCATCAACAAGGAATGTGAGGAATGGATGAGTGATGTAGGGATCTATGTGAATTAGAAGAAGCTTCCCTGTCCCCTGTGCCCTGGGGTGGGGTCCATGGGGGAGAGGAGATGCATGCCCCAGACCCCCTGGTTAAGCAATCAGCTTACTTCTTGTTAAAGAAAGGATCTGACACTGACTAGATACAAATCCTGCCTTTTAATTTTTTCATTAATCAACCCATTTTTGAGTACTCACTAATGAGCCTTGCAATCTTCTAAATCCTGGGGATACTGCTGTAAACAATTCAGACAAGGCCCTTAAGAATGTGCATTCTGGTGGTGGTGGAAGAAGAAAGAGGTTAAAAGTTAACAAACAGAAATAGCTTTAATAATGCTACAGAG